TATAAAGGTTAAAACGAAATAGACAAGTGTTAAGCCTTAAGTGGGATAATATTGTACAACAAACGGCTTCTGTTTGAGGTTGATAAAATAAGGTCATCCTTGTAACTCAGAGATATTTTATTATGTAGGTAGGAACTTTATGCATCGCCAAGGTTAATTTAAACAGGGTTCCCGCGGGGTCTTAAAAAGTCTTAAAAAGTCTTAAATTTGATAATATGAATTTAAGGCCTTAAAAAGGTCTTAAATATGACCAAAAAAATAAGAAAGGTCTTAAATATGATTTAGAAGGTCTTAAAAAAGGATCGGATTCGAAAGGTACTTCTGTGTTGCAATCGCGTCTAAATGTGTTTTGGGGGAAATGTCCAGGCTGCAAAGTAACCAGTATGGTAATAGCCTTTCAGTTCCCCCCAACAATTTGTATTGAAATAAATCAACATGGAACCAGTAATCACTAACTTTGTTTCCCCCGGCCCCTTATCAGAGAACACCCAGCTAGTAACCTAGCAACCAAGCTTCAGCTAGCGGCAGTCAGAAACTCATGTCTCTTCGAATCTACTTACAAATTAATATGGGGAAGTGTAAGTTCAACCGTATTTGGTTGGAAAACATCGAATTTAGTGCTTGGTTGAAACCAGTGAAGGGGAACGTGTTTGAAGCCCGCCGCACCTTTTGCGAAAAGAAATCAGCGTTTGTTTTGCTAATGTAGCGTTAGCTAGTGGAGCGTTAGCTAGTGCAGCAGCTCCCGCAACAAGACCGGGGGACCTCCGGGCGACGTTTGGGTCTACGTCAACCCTAAAAGCGGAGGTGCTGTAGACGCTAAATACCGTAGCTAAACACACACACACACACACACGGGCTGCTCAATTATGGCAAAAATCATAATCACGATTATTTTTGGTCAATAATTGATTTCACGATTATTAAACACGATTATTCATTGACTTTGAAAACATCCATTTATTGAACTTTAAAACAAATAATAATTTGAACAGTATCTTTTTAACTGTTGATTACCCTGAACATATAATTCAACTGAAAAACCAATTCAAAAATTAATTAAATAAATGCTATATTGTAGTGCCGAGAGATAGGGAGTCAGAGGCGGTGCAATGATGGTGTAAAAGGGTACTTTATTTAAGAGCTGGAAAGGACATGTTGTCCGGTTGCAGTCCGGGAAGAAGAGAGATTGAAGTCAGGAGGGCACACAACATATATAGTAAACACATAACATGTCCGTGTGGGAACAGTAGCCCTACCCCACAGTTCCGTGTGTGAATTATGACCCAGTGTATTAAAGGTGGTCACCACAATATACCATATAAATACAAATCTGTAAAAAAAAATCACTATCACTGCATTTATTACTTTAGTTAAGTTGGTTTAGTAAATGTTCTATACCTTAAATGTGAAATCTATTTACCCATATTTGTTTTTGTACATTAACATTAAATGTCTTATATGTATTTAATAACCGTAATAGCAAAGTAGAAATACACTGTATGAACACATGCATACATACTTACACAAATACGAACATATTTACACAAAAAATGACCCTAAATGCAATTCTTATTCTTGATCAGTTTGTTAAATTTAAGATAACTTGACTTGTTTTATTACTTTAACAACTGCTTTTGATGAAAATGTGATCAATTTAGGAATTTGGGGATTTTTTGGGTTCAAAATGGGGTGTAACAAGTGGTAATATGGTAATAACTGCCCCTAACTAGCACCACGACCATTTTACACTTGTAAAAATATGTGGAACTCCTACGGATAAATTGACGTTTAATATGTGGATTACATTCTGTACATACTGCCAGGATTATTTACATAAAAGATATTAAGGATTGTTATTCCACAAAGGCATACCTCTATACAAACATTTCTCAAATCGTGTTTCAGGGTGTGGGTCAGTGCTGAACATCAAAGGAGAGGTGGAGATGGATGCCATTGTGATGGATGGGTTGACTCTGGGTAGTGGTGCTGTCTCTGCTGTACGCAACATCACCAACCCCATCCAGCTGGCAAGACTGGTCATGGACAAGGTGTGTACCTTTTAAATATGGAATGGTTAACCGTTAAAGCATACACTTGGGAGTTGTAAAAAAAAAAAAAGGTAGGAAGAAGTAACAGGGTTTGGGAGGGTTACGTTAAAAATGTATTGCATTATAATTACTAGTTACCTGTGAAAAAGTATAATTAGTAACCTAATCCAAGTGTCACAATATGTAAGTAATTGATTTCCTTTACTATTGGATTTCGTCAATGCAAATAAATTAATGAGAAAACAAATATATCAAATGTAAACTTTAAGGGGCCCTATTTTGCTTATTTTCAGGTTCATATTTGTATGTAGTGTCTCTACTGTTACATGTCTCCATGCTTTAATGTTCAAAAAGCCCTTTATTTCTCTCATACTGCCTGTGCTGCAGCACCTCTTTTCACCCTCTGTCTGAAACCAGAGCCCAGTCTGCTCTGATTGGTTAGCTGGCCAGCTCTGTTATGATGGTTCAACCACTTAGAGATTTCCCAACGCTTAGCCTATCATGCATAATGTGTTAGAGCGCTAGCCAATAGAAGCACAAGTGTTACATAATGATGTCACTGTGTCATATAAGTAAACAAATGAGTCCAATGGAGGCAGGGGGGGGGGGAGAGTGTGTGGGAGAGAAACTCCCTCTGGAGGAACTTTGGGATTTTAGCCTTTTCAGACCATTTACAATGTACAAAAACCTATATAACAATACAGGAAAGGGAAAACCCCAAAAAGCATAATAAGGCCTCTTTAAGGATGTGACCTTTGATTATTGATTTCAGACGAGTAACTCATGTCTGACAGCAGAGGGGGCCAGTCAGTTCGCCCGGTCCATGGGGGTCCCCGAGGTGTCCCCTGAGTCCCTCATCACTGAGTACTCCCGCATGCGCTGGGCAAAGAACCTGGCGCCTGATGCCAACCCTGTGGAGAGCCAAATGTGAGTCACCACGTCTTTAAGCTTATTAGCATTTGTTCTAAAAATACTCCCATCCATCAGGGAGGTAATCTGAATCCTGCTGAGTCTGCATACTGGGGGAGAAGTACTGTGGTCATTTAAAAATGTTCATAAAATCACAAGATTAAAAAAAGAATAATCTGAGCTAACAGAACATTTTCCATTTTATTTTATTATAGTTAAGCTCAATACACTATTTTATGAACATATAGGTTCACCTACTGAAAAAAATAACAAGTGAAACAAAGAAAGTGAAACAATAAAGCAGATTCAGGCAGTAGGCGTAAACATGCAGTCCGTTACTCCCCAAACCTGCTGAGCACACAAATCAACAGTTTTGAGTCATTCAGCAGCAGTAGTTGGAGAAGCTCCTCTGGATGTTTGTTCAGGTGTTATCACCGGGGCTCAGGGTCACTGCTGGAATTCATTGTTATTGCTGTAACTGCAATTTCAACAAAAGAGCAAGCTCCAAACGTTTCCCAGCTGAGCAAAGTGAGGATCCAATACTCAAAAGAAACCTGTTCCTTAATAGCTGATGGTACTGTCGCTGATTTTATTGATAATGTTAAAACACGGCTGATTTCATGCCTATCAGAGAGTGACGTCTACCTCATCTTTGACAGATACTATGATTACAGTATCAAGTCTGTCACCAGAGATGTCAGGGAGACAGTGGTCAATAGGAAACATCATCTCCTCCTATCAACTAAACTACCAGTCCAGAAGGTTGTTTTGTCATCCATTGAAAACAAGAAACAGCCTACTATTTAAGGAACTGACCGAAGACAGGCTTTTCCATCTAAGGGGCACAAACAAACAAAAGTTGGTGGTGACAGGGGAGGACTCATGCCCCATCGAGATCAGGATGGAAGAAAGAAGGAGCCGATATGAGCTAGAAAATCAGCAGGAAGAAGCTGACACCATCATTGTCCAACAATTCCTGCGTGCTGGAGAAGCCCATCAAATCTCTGTGGTTTCTGATGACACAGATGTGTTCGTCCTATTCCTTCACTATTACCATCAGGCAGGACTGGATTCACCACTCATCATGGAATGGAAGAGCAATAGTGGACATCAAGGCGACACTCTCCAAGCATTCAGAAATTGTCGAGAACCTTTTACCAGCCCATGCCATTTCGGGATGTGACGCTGTAGCATCTTACTATGGGTTGGGAAAAGGCTCTGTCATCAAAGTCCTGAAAGCTGGGTACGAACTATCAGCCATTGGCAACATGGATGCACCATTCCAGCAAGTGCTCTACCAAGCCACTGCCTTCATCTCAGACTGTTATGGCATAAAGGAGAACACAGACATGTCACACACAAGGCTACTTGTCTGGGGGAAAAAGAATAGAAAAGGACATGTGTCTGCTCCAAACCTTGCTGCTCTACCACCAACAAATGAAGCCTTCATTAAGAATGTTAAGAGGGCCCACTTTCAGGCAATGTTGTGGCGAAATCTCAATGCAAACCTGCTGCCAGCACTAAACCCGGAGGAATTTGGATGGAAAAAAGATACGCGTAACAGGTCACTGATCCCAACCCGGAAGATGCCAAACGTGTCCCAGATTACATTTAGGAGATGATCAGGTGTGGCTGCAAGAGTGAGACCCCTTGCAACTCCAAGAAGTGCAGTTGTAAAGTGCATGATTTGCCATGCACAATGTTCTGTGCACGTTTCAGGGTGGGATGCTCAAGATCCTAACACTGGGATCATCAGCAATATTTGTAATGTGTCATTTCTATATGCTAATGAGCAATGTTTTATCCAACAATCTGCTTGCCTTCCTTTTTGTTGTTGGTAATAAACGCCACGCAGTTGCGTTAGCAAAAGAGAGAAGTTGTTTTCTATTGTCTTTGCAAAATTCACTGCGCTACAAAAGTATGTTTTGCTGGGTCAGCTTGAAAGGGTTAATATGAATTCATTTAGAATACAACGCACTGTATGAATATAAACAT